AATATTGCATTTGGAAGGTATACAAGCTCTCATATTAAATTATGCATATTTAAGAGAGATAGATGTGACTATTATTTTGATGCTAATTTTCTTGTAAACTTTAGACTGTGCAAAAAAAGTTGTGAATACATAATTTGTAGGAAATTTAACGAGCTTTAAATTTGTCTTACAACATTTTGCAATAAAATTAATACTTTGCAAAATATTTGCAAAAATCTGTGACCGTATCTCATGATAACTATGAGCTATATTACATTTCATTCATGAAGTTTTATGCAAATATCTCGTAAACTAATAAATTCATAGAAAAATGTATGGATACATATTTTGTAGTAAATTTAATGATCTTCAAATTTGTCTTACAACGTTTTGCAAAAAATTTAATATTTTGCCAAATATTCACAAAAGTCTGAGACATGTTCTAGAATAAAAAATAATTTAACTATGCTTCAGTTTCTAAGTTCTTGTAAAGTATTGATTTTAGGACAAAATGTGTATAAACAAAATTTATAGAGAATTTAATAAACTTTAAACTAGTCTTTGGACATTTTGGTTTAAATTCAACATTTTGCAAAATATTTGCACAAAACTCAAACTTTTTTCAAAGTTCCATATCCTTAAATATCACATTTTCTAGAATCAAAAAATACGAACTAAATTTTCGTCTTAAATTTCTCGTAAACTATTGATTTTAGGACAAAATGCGTATAAACAAAATTTGTAGGAAATTTAATAAAACTAGTCTTTGGACATTTTGCTCTAATTTCAACAGTTTGCAAAATATTTGCATAAAACTCAAACTTCGTCAAATTGCAATTTTGCCAAAAATCATTTACTAAAATTTTAGCAAAATTTTCATTTTAATTTTCTCGTAAACTATTGGTCTTAGGACAAAATGTGTTTACACAAAATTTGTAGAGAATTTCATAGGCTTCAATCTTGTCTTGGGGTATTTTTCTCTAAATTCAACATTTTGCAAAATATTTGTAAGTAATTTGCAAAAAAAAAACTCAAATTTTGCCAAAGTTCCATATCCATATCCTTACATATCACATTTTCTGGTATCAAAAAATACGAATTAAGTTTCCGTTTAAATTTTCCTGTAAACTATTGATTTTAGGACAAAATGTGCATAAACAAAATTTGTAGGGAATTTAATAAAACTTTAAACTGGTTTTTGGACATTTTATTCTAAATTCAATATTTTGCAAAATATTTGCAAAAAACGCGAAACATTCTCAAAGCGCAATTTCTTCTTACAAATCAAATTTTCTAGAAACCAAAATTTCAACTAAATTTTTATTTAAATTTTCTCGAAAACTATTGATTTTACGGTAAAATGTGTATTTACAAAATTTGTAGAAAATTTAATGAACTTTAAACTAGTTTTAGATATTCTAGTCTAAATTCAAAATTTTGCAAAATATTTGCAAAAAACTCAAACCTTGTTAAAGTGCAATATTCTCACATCACATTTTTTATACTGAAAATTTTTAATTAAACTTGCGTTCTCAATTTCTCGTAAACTATTGATTTTAGAACAAAATATGTAAAAACAAAATTTGTTGGAAATTTAATAAACTACAACTTTGTCTTTTACCATTTTGCTCCAAATTCTAAAATTAACAAAAATATTTTCAAAAAACCCAAGTACAATATTCTCAAAAATCATTTACTAAATCTGAACTAAATTTCCATTTCCAATAGATATGTATATCATATAACCGGTTAATAAGATTCTGATATGATTGAGGGAAGATTAAGGTGTATAAGGGTCTTATAAGGGTCTTATCGTTATTAGAATATAATACAAGAGCCGATATCAAATGAGTATGCGCGGAAGCTATTGAAGGATTTACTTCGTATGAGGAGGAATGGATGAATAGATTAGTTGCTAATTGGCAATATATTAATACTATGTGTGTTTGTAGAGATATGTACATATTAACAGTATATTGATATTGATTTATATATATATATATATATATATATATATATATATGATTAAAATTTCGACGGAAAATCCAGACGGCAATAATTTCATCTCCATTTCATCAATGCTATTTTATTATTTTACATTTGTAGTTTATTTAAAACAGTACGACTTACACAACTAATTTAGATTATTATTATAATATTTATTTATTTATTTATTAAATATTTTTATTTACTAAAATTTACAAAACATTTTCGCCTAGCTTGTTTATTTTTTTTACAAAGATATGTACAACAGAATTTGTGAAACTAATTTTGAAAATGGAAAACCTGCATGGAAATATTTTTTTTTAAATTAATTTGATAAAAAAGTTATAAAGTTAAAAATTTGATAAAGGTTATAAAATTTATGAAAATATATTGAGAATGTAATACAGATTCTTGTATTCAAAAAAATTTAAGTTTGATTTATATTTTGATTCAAAATTTTGAGAATTTTGCAAAATGTGTATAGGGTTTTTTTTTTAGATTTTTATCTGATTAGAAATAAATTTATTTTAAAGAAATTAATATGAAAAATTATAATAAAATTTATGAAAATAAATTATAATTTGAGTTTTGCAAAATGTGCTTATGGGTTTCTTTAGATTTTTATCTGTTTAGAAATAAATTTATTTTAAATAAATAATTAAATTAATAAATTAACAAAAGAAACATGATCATTTTTTTTAAATGATTTGAAAATTTAGCATAATGATATCTTCATGGGAAATGAAGTTTTTATTAATTTTGAGACTCAAAATATTTAAAGAATTTTCCAAATTTGCTTCAGGTTTTTTTATATTCATTTTGACTACGATTATTATATTCACTATAATAATTTTTAATTTATAAATATTATTTACAAAATTTATTAGAGAATAGTGTATGAATGTAAAATTAGAATTTAATAAAGTATGTTGTGTGTTTTTGAACAATTCATTTTTTATTTATATTTAAGTCCCAAATTTATTTTTAATTGAAAGTTGTTATACGATCGCAAACTTTGGTTCAAAATTATGAAATTTATTCGAAAATTACCACATTTTAATCTTTTAATGAAACAAATATTAAAAATGATTAAATATTTTTTTAATTCAATGATTGAGGAGTTTTAAACTATTAATAAAAATAGAACAACTGACCTTTCAAATTTTTTTAAACTAGATTGAAATAAGTAGTAAAAAAATTAAAAAAAAATTAAAGCATTAAATTCATATTTATTTTGCAAAAAATTCTCAATTGTGTATATTTTTTTCAACAAAATTTATATTTAAATGCAGGTTTTCCATTTTTCTCGTTTTTAATAACTCACATATTTTATTAACAATTATTATTATAATTAATTTAATTTTAAAATTATTTTTAACTTAAATTTTATTTTGGCACCTATCACAATATTTTATTATTTACGATTTTGCAGACCACTAATTTATATATATATATATATATATATATATATATATATTTTAGTGGTCTGTGATATAAGCCTAATATTAGGCAAATTTTATTTGTAATTTTTAAATGTATAAATAATATTTATAAAAACACAAAGAAATTGAAACATCATTTTTAATATTGAATTGATAATAAATCTTTGGAAATTTGGTCTCAACTCTTCACTATTTTTTTAGACCCCATAAGTCTTTTAAGAAATAATTTATTTAGCGAGCTCTTCAGGACGTACACACATGCAATTTTAGTATGTTACTTCTCAATATGTGTACTTTAGTAAAAGATAGTAAAATTTGTAAGTTTTCTCACAAAATTTTAAAATATTTTTAACTAACCATAAAGAGTGCAATGTTATACATTTAACTTTGATCACATAAATCTTTTAAGAAATAATTTATTTAGCGAGCTCTTCAGGACGTACACACATGCAATTTTAGTATGTTACTTCTTAATATGTGTACTTTAGTAAAAAATAGTAAAATTTGTAAGTTTTCTCACAAAATTTTAAAATATATTTTCCTAACCATAAAAAGTGCAATGTTATACATTTAACTTTGAACACATAAGTCTTTTAAGAAATAATTTATTTAGCGAGCTCTTCAGGACGTACACACATGCAATTTTAGTATGTTACTTCTCAATATGTGTACTTTAGTAAAAGATAGTAAAATTTGTAAGTTTTCTCACAAAATTTTAAAATATTTTTAACTAACCATAAAAAGTGCATTGTTATAAATTTAACTTTGAGCACATAAGTGTTTTAAGAAATAATTTATTTAGCGAGCTCTTCAGGACGCACATATATGCAATTTTAGTATCTTACTTAAGATGTGTACTTTAGTAAAAAATAGTAAAATTTGTAAGTTTTCTCACAAAATTTTAAAATATTTTTAACTAACCATGAAAAGTGCAATGTTATACAATTCACTTTGATCACATAAGTGTTTTGAGAAATAATTTATTTAGCGAGCTCTTCAGGACGTACACACATGCAATTTTAGTATGTTACTTCCTAATATGTGTACATTAGTAAAAAATAGTAAAATTTACAAGTTTTCTCACAAAATTTTAAAATATTTTTAACTAACCATAAAAAGTGCAATGTTATACATTTAACTTTGAACACATAAGTCTTTTAAGAAATAATTTATTTAGCGAGCTCTTCAGGACGTACACACATGCAATTTTAGTATGTTCCTTTTTAATATGTATACTTTAGTAAAAAATAATAATAAAAGCAACTATAAATAAATTTTCTAGAAAAACTTAAAGTACTCCATTTTTTTTGTTATAAATTTAGCACTGATGATGAAACTAATCTAGGTCTCGAAACGTCTGTAACTTACAAATTTATTTTAACAAACTTTGTGCAAAAATAAACGACTGCACTTCATACATTTTTGATCAAAATAACAAAATAACAAAATTTTACTTTAAATATTGTTAATTTTTATTTTATATTATTATTTTATCAAATTTCCCATATCCCAATAGTGCGAGGGCCGGTACCAAATTCCCAAACAATTTTTCCCACCAAACTAAATATTTTATTTAAATATAAATTTATTTTATTATCGTTCTTTTTCCAACTAAAAAGTGTATCGTTATCGATATGATAGAATATATAATTATTTTTATATATTTTGAATTTTTACATACAGTGTTAATGATATTGTTGATATGGTGGTTGGTGGTTGCTTTTGATGTTGATGGTTCGTTGGTTACGTAACGACTTCTTGAAGTCGTTTGGCCGGAACGTTTGTGGACTTCTTGGGTTAATTGACCTATGGAAATAGATTAAAAATTGGTTAAAATGGGTAAAATAGATTAAAATGGGAAACATAGATTAAAATAGATGTATCTATCTTTATCAACTCTTGAAATGATGGAATTTTTACAAAATGAAAATTTGGACTTGGGTGTACGTAAGTGAAAATAACAATGTGAACTTCGTTCGTCTCTATCGACACATCTTATCTCTAATCACTCGTTTATTGTCTCTAATTGCACTCTCTACAATTTTCATCTTTATTTGTCTCATTAACAAAATTCAAAATTCGTCTAAATCTGTCAAATTTCGTTGAAAGCTATGAATTTTTTATTGCAACTCACAGTTTTTGGTCGAAAAATGACAGTTTCTGGTTGAAAGTTGACAGTTCTGGTTGAAAATAAGTATTTTTTGTTGAAAACTAGCATATTTGGTTTGGAAATTTGCAGTTTTGGTTGAAAATTAACAGTTTACGTTGAACACTAGCATTTTTGGTTAAATATCGGCATTTTGGTTAAAAATTGTCATTTTTGGCTAAAAAATAGCATTTTTGCATTTTGCAATTTGCATCTTTGGTTAAGAATTTGCATTATTGGTTAAAAATTGACGTCTTGGTTTCAAAATTGAATTTTTTTGTTGGAAATTGTCATTTTTGATTAAAAATTTACATTATTTAGTTGAAAAATTTACATTTTGGTTTCAAAATTTACATTTTCTGTTAAAAATTGTCATTTTTGATTAAAAATTAGCATTTTTGATTAAAAATTAGCATCTTTGATTAAAAATTAGCATCTTTGATTAAAAATTAGCATTTTTGATTAAAAATTAGCATTTTTGATTAAAAATTGACATTTATGGTTGAAAATTGTCTTTTTTTGGATTGAAAATTGACAATTTTTTTTATTAAAAATTGACATTTTTTGTTAAACATTGACATTTATGGTTAAACATTGACATTTATGGTTAAAAATTAAGTTTTTGACTGAAAATCGATAGTTTTTGGTTTGATGAAAATTAACATTTTTGAATTTGAAAATAGACATTTTGGTTAAAAATTAACATTTTTGGAAAAATTAACATTTTTGGTTAAAATTTTGCTTTTTTGGTTAAAAATTAGCATTGCTGGTTGAAAATTAGCATTTTTGGTTAAAAATTGTCTGTTTTTGGTTGAAAATTAGCATTTTTGATTTGAAAATCGACATTTTTGATTAAAAATTGACATTTTTGATTAAAAATTAGCATTTATGGTTGAAAATTGACAGTTTTTGGTTTGATGAAACTTAACATTTTTAAATTTGAAAATTGGAATTTTTTGTTGGAAACTAGCATTTTTGATTAAAAGTTAGCATTTCTGTTTAAAAATTAGCATTTTTGGTTAAAAATTAGCATTTTTGGTTCACAAGTACTAATAAACATAGATCTAAAACAATTAATTGATAAGTGATTCAGATCATTTAGTTTGATAAACATTAATCGAATTATTAGCAAACAATTAATTACATCTAAAACTTGTAAATAATATATATATATATATATATATATATATATATATTTCAATATTTATTTACCATTAATATTTGTAGTAGTTTCTGTCCAATGATATCTCCTTCCTGGAAAAGCTGCAAAAATAATTAAAAAAATTAAAAAAACATAAATTTTTCATATATTATTTTTTTAATATAATTTTCTTACTTGTGGTAGAAGCCTTGTGGGTTGTATGATGCGATGGCGATTTTGTTGCCAGTTTTATTTCTGAAATAAAATATGGAAAACTATTTTATTGGAAAACATATACTACACAAAATTGTTATTGTTAATACAAGATTCTAGTATTGACGCATTATATTTATTTTTCAAAATGTCGTTTTAAACAGAATTTTGATCCGTGACGATTATTTTATATGACGCATATTTTTATAACACTCAAAAAAACTTCAAAAAAAAACTTACATCACACTCCCATCGCAAAAAAGTCAAATCATATTTATTTCCTCACCTTTATTTTTAAAAGAGAAAACGAGACCGAGGGAAAAACCTTTGACAGAAATAAGGGAAAGGACACGTATCCTTTAATATATTTTGCGTATCCTTAATAATGTATGTCCCGTGTGTATGTTTCACTTTTTTTTATATTTTAAATAAAAAAGACTTGTGTGATTTCGTCGGTACGTGAGGAATAAAAAATGGAAAAAAGGCGACGATTGGGTTCGTTTGCTAAAAACCACATTCGAGGAAGAATTACACCTACATCGGGGTTTTAAGGATTTTTAAAATTTTTTGGGGCTGGTATGAATATTTAAGGATAATTTTATCCAAAAACTGTGCTTTTTGAATAAAAAATTAAAAAAATATAAACAAATTAATAGAAAGCTCTGACAATGTCATATCAGAGACTATAGATAATTTATATAGAATGATTAGAATTACTAAAATTGTATGGAGCAAAGATGTTTTATTAGTGCGATACAGGGTTTGTTGGTTTTCAAAAACCGTTTTTTTTGGCAAAAATTATGGAATTCGAAAACTGGTTTTGTAGTGAAAAAAGTCGGTTTTCACTGTATAAATCGAATATGATAAATATAGCCAAATATACAAGATAGATGAAAGCGTTTTGATTCTTGAAATAATATCGGTTCAATAGCATTTGATATCTTATCAGTTTACAATAGTTCCCAGAAAGGTTTTGTATATAATAATTTAGATTTTTATACCAGTGTATACATTAATTTAAATCAGTGTGACTTTTTCTTGAAGAAGTAACTTACTCTACTCAAACTTAAAAAAAAGAGTTTTAAACCCTAGAAGCCACAAAGAACAAAAAACTTAGAATTATTATATCAGGCTTTAAAAACAATTAAGCATAATTTGATCGCAAGTATTAGAGTATTTTCTATTTCAGAAAATTTTGTTAGAAACAATAAAAGTTATGTCTAAGTAGCAATTCGATAGACGTTCCCAATTTTTTTAAATCATATTTCATTAAACAAACAACAATTAGAATATTTAAAATTAATTAATTAAAATTGCTTGGAACAGAAATAAAAGTTTACCTTAATTGTTTTTAAAACTAAAATTGATATTAACAAGTATCTATCAACATGTATCTAATATATTTTTATTGTTTTTTCATTTAATGAATTTTTTTTATTTAAAAATGCATTATTTTTATTTATTTGAAAACTTTCCTTTCACTATCATAAAAATATTTTCATTCTTATATGTGAAAATGATGCATGAATAACGAATAATTATTTTCAAAGTTATTTAATCAAGATAAACTATTATTTTTTAGTTCTACTAATTAAAATTAAAATATTTTTTTTACTATATATAAAATTGAACAATAAATAAATTCAGTCAAATACTATTCTAAATTACACTAAATTTGCGGATAAATTATAAAATATTCGAGCAAAAATTTATTTTCTTTATAAAATTCCAAAACCGGTTTTTTAATGAAATTAAAATTTGTAAAACGGTTTTCTGAAATGTCGGTTTTTGTATAAACCCTAACTGCGATATCATATTTTCAATTATTTAATTTCGAGCTGAAGTATTTTTTTGATATATGTCCTGTCTAAGTTGTAAAAGATTTTATTTCGTCTGGCAAAAGAAATAATATTTCTCTATTCTATATTTTTATATTTTACGATTACGATTTCGAAAATAGATGGAATAAACGTAGAGAAAGCATTTTGAGGACATAATCAAGATTGATGCTTTCAGTTTTATCATACTTATTAATAGACGGAGAGCCAGTGACAAATTTACACACCAAAAAATAATCCATAGTAAAAAGAAAATAATCCAACTAGTTAAAAACCTGGTTAAAATAATTTTAGGGTCATTTGAATTTATTCATAAATTTATACTTTGATAAAAATAGTTTTTTACCTCAATAATAATTTTTTCAGTCGATTTTCTAAAAATAATGGGATATAGTCCCATTGACTCACAAAATCTTTATAAACAACCTTTGAGATGATGTTGGATTTTTTTATTCTTCTACTAAATATATTACTATTACCCTTAATTATGTGTAAATTGTTTACTCTAGTTCTTATTTATTTTATAAATATTTTTGGTGCTTATTTTACTATAAATTGTTAACTTTGTTCGTAATCTTTTACTTGTTTTCTATTTTATATTATCAAACTATTAATTGCTATAGAGATATGACTTTTTAAAGGCTTTAATCATGTTTTTGGTGCTAATTAATTATTTAAATTTGTTTTTTTTTTTCGTGACTCACATAAATTAGCCAAGTTAAGCACAGTATAAGTGAAAATGTCGCACAGAATTGTTTGCAAATGCGTTTAGACTGTGACTATACGGGAGCACTTTTTCCAATTTTGTGCAAATTAGGCAACTATTTTTTTGAAATTGAATTCGAAATGAAATGACGATTGTTAATGTTCTGGAGATAAATTGATTTATGAGTTACATTTGATTTGCTCAGATATAATAAGATAGCAAAAATAATGAAAGTTACAGTATTTGTAATAATATATTTGAAAACGTTTAAAATTTCTCGAATATTTCATTACGTTACGGCCAATTCCAGCAAATTGCCTTAAGGCACGATGTCATACACCACTAGTTTTTTTTTCTACCAGCTGTCTGCCTATTTTAGTGTCTTTGATGAAAAACTTTGCGATCCGCTTTTATTTCAACTCATTCTGAAAAATAAATATGCTAATGAAGAGATTTCTTCAGTCTGAGGAATTGATTGATTATTTTTATTAAGATTTTGATGTTTTTTTATTTTGACTGATCGATTTGGATCGGTTTCAATGAATAAATGACTGGGTAATATTTGGGTAATATATATATATATATATATATATATATATATATATATATATATACTACTACTACTTGTTGATACTAGTTTAATAAATTCTTCATCTTCATATATATATATATATATATATATATATATATATATATATATATATATATATATACTACTACTACTACTTGTTGATACTAGTTTAATAAATTCTTCATCTTCATATATATATATATATATATATATATATATATATATATATATATATATATATACTACTACTACTACTACTTGTTATACTAGTTTAATAAATTCTTCATCTTTTCTAAATAAATATAAAGGTATTATTTCTTTACCATTTTTAGGCAGTTTAACTTATTTTTTGAGAAAGATATTTTCTGAAGAAGGTTTTCTTTTAGTTTTCAAATTTGAAAATACTTTAAATTCTTTGTATACTTCTTTTAAACAAAAAACACCACATAATAGAATTGTTTGCTCCGTTTACAAAGTGAATTGTAATGATTGTGAAAAATTCTATATTGGAGAGAGTTTACAATATATATCTAAGAGAACGGTTCAACATAATTATAATTCAAAAAATAAAAATCAATACAAAACAATGCTTTCAGACCATATGCAAAACTTTAAACACACTTTTGATTTAAGCAATCTCATTATTTATATATATTGAACAAAATGTTAACCTAAGAAGGTTTGCTGAATCTCTTTTCATTTTTTTAAATTCATAATGTGTAAATAAGAGAAGTTCTTCTTTTTTGCTTTTTGACAGCTATCAAAATTTAATTAATGTATGTAAGTCTGATTTTTTTAAATATTTATATATAAATGTTTGTCGTTTATTTATTTTTGTGAATTTTTTACCATAAACTCGAACTGTGGCCTCCGAATGTCCCAAAGAATTGGTGCAGACACAACTGTAGGTCCCCAAATCTTTTCTTCCAAGTCTTCTGACAACCAAAATCATTTTCGATTGATATTGGGATATCCTTTGCTCGGTTATTGAATGATCGACTCTAAAAAAAAAAAAAAAATAAAAATTTATATGAAAAAGATCTAATAGTTATGTCAATGCTTTATTTACTTAAGGGACACAACTAGTGTAACCGTCTAAAAAAAGGAGATTTTTGGGAATTTATATTAAAAAACAAACTTTATCAATCATTTCAAAATTTTAAGAATATATTTACACATGTTTTAAGAATACATAGTGAAATTTTTAAAGAAAAAATTAAATATTTTTTAAGTTATCGCAGATCTCCAACGGCGCGAAAATTAAGGCCCTTCACTGCTGCAGTGATTCCGGCCTTCTACGTGGATGAAATTTAAAAAAAAAATTCTCATTAAACTAGATAATATTGTCTGTAAGATGACATACGATAAAAAAAAATAAAAAATTGACAAAATGACGGCGTTTTTTAAAAAAAAGTCGAATTTTACCCAAAATTTTGGTCATTTTTGGACTGCCAAAATTCGATTTTTGATCCGATCAAAAAATCGATAGTTCATTATACGGAGAACTATATATAGAACATGTAAAAAAATTGATAGTGATCGGATCATTTGTTTTTGAGTAATCGTTGCAGCAAATTCGGAAAATGCTGTTTCGAGAAAAACGCGTTTGAAGATTAATTGATCGTTGTACTATATACTATATATACACTCTTTGAATGGCTGTAACTCAAAAACTATTTAAGATATCGATTTGAAATTTTGGTATGTTATTTTTAAAGGTATAACCTTATCGAAATATGGAAAAATTGAAAATTCGATTTTTTGAAAATTTGACACTAGTTGTGCCCCTTAATCACGATAAGTTATTTAAAATTATGAAAGCAAACTTATTCCAGGAATTTCGATTATTTTTATAAGAATTATGAAAAATCTTCTTAATAATCTTGTGATACATTTTTTTACAATAATATGCGATTATAAATATTTTTTATATATTAATTTCTTTTCAAATTATTTGAATATTTATCATTATTTTCAGGATCCAAAAATTACGCAGATGCAGATCACTACTCCACCATACAAAGTAAGTGATAATTTTTATTTACTAAAACTAAAAGATTATTTGATACAATACTTGCAACTTGTTCAATAACGTTTTTGTGTATAAATAAAACTAATAAATATCATTATATTCACTCCAAATCATTCAATATTTGACGTATGAGCCACCCTTCATTGTTTCATTTTAAATTAGGCTTCTACAAAAAAAATTAAATTGTTAATGTGAAGTTTCTACTCGGTTTTGAATTTTAATTTAATTTCTCATTTTTCCCATAATCTCTGGATTAGTACAAATATTCCCAGACTGAAAGTGGCCAAATCGGTTCAGCGAGCTCTATTTTTTATATATGATATATATATATATATATATATATATATATTATTGGATCATAAATGAAAATACAACTATCCAGTCAACAGTATTCCATCTCTAAATTAGTTTTATTATATAAATTGAGCGTGTTTTTTGAGCAATTCTTCTAATTAAGTGAAATAACAAAATTATTTTACTAGCATAGTAAATTTTATTCAAACAAATAATATATGAACATATATATTATGGTCATCTTTTTCCAAAAATTTCAATGATCTTCGAAATAATCAAATTTCAAACAAATATTTGTTTTCCAGAATGCCAGACTAATTTTCTTTCATAAAACTTTTTTTCATCAAATCGCTCATATTTCACAGAATAAATCCCGAGACGAAAATTTGTAAAATAGTCTTCGAGTTTCAACATATGATGCCTTCTGATCCTTTTGAGAACAAATCTGCGAACATTAACGCGACTTATCTTCATTTCGAAATTCTTTTGTATAATAATATATATATATATATATATATATATATATATATATATATAATTTATTATATATATATATATATTATATATAGAATTATAATTTAGTACACATATTAAGAAATAACATACTAAAATTTTGTAACTCTAGTATAACGTTTTATATTTTTAAGTATTTTTCAAAATTCCCATCAAACCGTGGACTTGCAATTTTTGTAAGAGTGCATTTGTTTACAAAATTGCACATTTATAGCTTTTTTTTGTTAGAAACATATGTGATTTTATATTTTTATAATTGAGTACATATATTAGGTAATAACATACTAAAATTTCATAGCTCTAGTATAATATTGTATATTTTTAAAACATCTTTCAAAAGTACTTCTCATATCATGTCCAACCGTTTCCGCAACTAATAAAAATAGAGTATGCAAGTGTGCATTGCAATTTTTTAGTTTCTTCTGTTGGAAACATATTTGATTTTATATTTTTATAATTCAGTACATATTAAGAAATAATATACTATAATTTCAAAACTGTATTCCAACGCTTTATATTTTTAAAATATATTTTAAGCCGTCAATTTGTTTACGTCAAAACGTTTACTAACGTTTTTGTATATAAATAAAACTACAAACAAAACTACTTACTACAATTCAATCATAATTAAATAATATTCACGTAAAACATCCTATAAAACGTAGTTGAACATCATCCGTCAAAAACATTTGACATTTGACGTATTAGCCACCGTCCATTGTTTTGTTCAAATTACGCTTCTACAAAATTGTTCAAATTAAAAATGTAAAGTTTCTACGCGATTTTGAAATCATTTCTCACCTTTCCGACAACCTACTGACTAGCACGAATTTTTCAAGACTAAGCTGGCCAAATCGGTTTAGCCGTTTTCGAGTTTTAGCCGGTCATTTTATCGAGAGCCCCATTTTTATATATAAGATATATATATATATATATATATATATATATATATATATATATATATATATGATTTACAATATATTAATAATTATTTATGGTTAATTCATATTTCAATTAACCTATGTAGAGAGTTGTTTCTGTGTAAGCAGTTTGGGCAATATGTGGGTGGAACATATATGTGGGTGCGTTTATTTTTGGAATGAAATGAAAATATAACTTAGTTATGTAGTTATTGTATTTATCTTGTTGGTTTGATGAGAAAAGTTGTGGTAGAAATTCTGTGGTACATAATGTTTGATTAATTTATCAGCTATGTTATGGGATTGGTTTTTCTTCTACCAGTTATATATACGTATATATATATATATATATATATATATATATATATATATATATTACAACTCTTATAGTCATAAATTTGACTCAGAATAATTTATTTTAATAATTATAATTTAAATGGGGCAATTCCGATATAAACGTGAATTTGATATTTTATTATTCAGCACAATAATTAGAAAATTCGGGACATTTTTTTTGGTTTTTGTCAAATAACTTACAAACTTTATATGAAACTACCCATTTTAGGTTAGCTAGGGTGAAACTAGATACAATTTACAATATATCCTAAGGAACACTTTTATACACTCCGATATAAAAGTTTTGAATAAACCACTTTGAATTTGATATTTCATTATTAAGCACAATAATTAGAAAATTCGGGACATTTTTTTACTTTTTGTCAAATAACTAACAAACTTTATATGAAAGCACCATTTTTAATTTAGATAGGGTGAAACTAGATAAAATTTACTTCGTTTCCTTGTTAACACTTTTATTTATACACTCCGATATATAAGTTTTGAATAACAATGTGGAAGGTACATTTTATACTACCATGTATTCATTCATTAATATTTTATATCTTTCAAAAAGCTTGTCTAATTTAAATAAAATATTTGGCAAATTTTTATAAAATTATATAGTCTACAATATTGTGTAACATTATAATGCCCTACAGCAACTCGGTATACTTTAAAATCTCAATTTAAAAATATGACGCTGTCCGATAGAACATTTTATCAGCTTAAGTTTAGAATTTATTAAAATTATACTATAATTAGTAATCATTTTAAAGTATATCGAGTTGCTGTACAGTGCTATAATGTTATACAAAATTATAAACAATTCAATTTTGTATAAATTTTTCAAATATTTCATTAATATTAGATAAACAACTTAAAAGTTACAAGAGATCTAATAAATGAATGCATAAACGCGTTTGCTCATGTAAAACTAAAGACTATTTACAAGCTCAAAATAATAATCAACTTTTAGAGTAAATTTTAAAGTATATCGAGTTGCTGTAGAGTGCTATGATGTAAGATAATTGTAAAAGATATTATATCTGATTTAATTTAGTATTATAAATTTGCTAAATACTTAGTTTAAATTAGACAAACCGTTTAAGGTGCCAAACTAGTGTAACCGCCTAAAAAAAGGTGATTTTTGGGAATTTATATTAAAAAAACTACTTTATCAATCATTTCAAAATTTATATATATTTTATTATATTATATAGGAATATATTTATACATGTTTTAAGAATGCATTAAAATTTTTGAAGAAAAAAAATTAATATTTTTTAAGTTATCGTCGATTTCCCTTCCCTTCACCGTTGCAGTGATTCCGGCCTTCTACGTGGATGAAATTAAAAAAAAAATCTCGTTAAACTAGATAATATTGTCTGTAAATCGAACTACGATAAAGAAAAAAAATCCAAAATTGACAAAATGACGGCGTTTTTTAAGAAAAAGTCGAATTTTATCCAAAATTTTGGTCGTTTTTGGGCTGCCAAAATTCAATTTTTGTTCCGATCAAAAAATCGATAATTAATTTTACGGAGAACTATATATAGAACATGTAAAAAAATTGATAGTGATCGGATCATTCGTTTTGAGTAATCGCTGCAGCAAATTCGAAAAATGCCGTTTCGAGAAAAACGCGTTTAAAGATAAAATGATCGTTATACTATATACTATATATATTCTCTTTAAATGGCTGTAACTCAAAAACAATTTAAGATATCGATTTGAAATTTCGGTATGTTATTTTTATAGGTATAACCTATCGAATTATGAAAAAATCGAAAATTCGATTTTTTGAAAATTTCACACTAGTTGTGCCCCTTAAAAGGTACAAGAGATATTATAAAC